AAATATTTATAATTAATTATAAATTTAATTAAATTTATTAATTTTTTAAAAATATTTGTATAAAGTCTTGCTATAAAGTTTTAGATTCTCGAAAATTAATTATCACTTCATGAGATCCAATATTCAAAGTCAGCTAATAATTAGTAATTATAATTACTAATTATCGTGAACTTTGAATATTGCATCATATGAAGTAACAATTAATGTTCGAGAATTTTTATAGAAGACTGCTTATTTGTTTAAAATTATTTTAACAATTTATAATTATTATAGGTATATCATAAGCATAGATCTCAAATTGGTTCTAATAAATGGATCATTCAAGAGTGCTTGAAACAAAAATTAACTAATAGAGGTAAATTTTAATATTCATATAATATAATTTATTGAATTTATTTATTATAGTTCTAAAAACTAAATTATTATATTAGCTGATAATTTTAGAAAAAAAAGTAACAAAACAAAGCCAAGAATTACACAAAATTTGAATAATTATAATGAATTAGAAATATCAATACAACAAAATATTGAAAAAATTTCTAATGCTAATAAAGAAAATATGAGTATTAATTTTAAGAAAGAATTTTGTGAAAGTATGTTTTATATTAATTAGTAATTTTATTTAATAAAAATATTAATTAGTAATTTTATTTAATAATAATATTAATAATTTAATTATTTTAATTAGGCGATGGTAATAACTTAGAAGATGAAGATTGCAGTGGTTCTTTTTTTAGCACTTATGCTACTCCTAATAACTATATAGCTTTAGATTCTGATGAATGTATTGATCCTACTCCTAATGGTCATATTGCCTCTACTCCTAATAGCGATAGTGAATAAGCAGATGAAAGTTACATGACTCAAACATCTAAAAGTATTACCAGTGAAATAATATTTAGAATAATGTTGTTAAATGTTTTGTTTATTAGTAATTATCATATCTGTTTATTATATTATTTATCACACCATATAATAAATAACTTAAAAGGATACAATAATTACCAATGAACAGGATATTTAACACACTGTTTAAAATTGATAATATTATTTTTTAATTTAATCATTAATTTTTATTAATATTACTGTATGTTTAGATATTTTAAAACCAAGCATGTCTATTAAACAAACTATTGATAAAATTAGTAGTCGAACACGACAAAAAGCTTATATAAATTCTAAGAAATATAATCAAAGTCTAGAAAGCTCCTTACCCAAACGGATCCAAAAAGAAGATACTCAATTACCATTACAATCAACTAGTAACAATAGATTACAAGAAATACAAAATGTTAAAATTAGCAATAAGACTAGGTTAGTAAAAGCCAAAAAATTTTAACATAAATTGATATTTAAATATATGTATTGAGTATACAGTATTTTAAATAAAGTTTTAACGAAACAATTGCTGCTAAACAATAAATTGATATATTTATTTGATTATTAAAAATATTTATAAAATATATGTATAAATAAATTTTCGAATATATGCTCAACATGTAAAAATGTGAATTTTTGGCTGCCAAATTCTAATTCGAAATACAGCCCAAAATGGACCAATACAACCCTGTCAATTCGAACCACAAATGTACAAACCCGAATCTTAGTCATAGAAGAAGGATCATGAAGTTACGTTCGATTACTCATTTCATATCGTGCTATATCCTGTGCCAATTGGCTTAGTAAAGTGTTGCAAAAAATACGTTGATCTATGAAATTATACGTGTGCCTTGACACAGGTATATGGACTAAATATGGTCTATCGATTCCGTGCTAGTTCGGACTATACGGGTGCATATACGGATCTTGCCTCATATCATTTAACCCCATGCCTTTGCACTATTTTCCTGTGCTTACATAGACTACTTTTCTTATAGGGATATCATTCAGCAACTATTTAGTAAACATTTAGTAAATATTCAGCTACTATTTAGTACAATTACTGCTACTTAGTATTTATAAATACTAAGTGACAGAAATTATACTAAACAGTAGCTGAGTGTTTACTAAATGTTAACTGAATAGTTGCTGAATGGTATGCTAAATATTTGCTGATTTAGCACTGTTTTTGCAAATTTCAACTAGTATTAGCTCTGTATATAAAAAATTTAATACTTAAAGATATAGAAAATACTCTATTTAGAACTTCATATAAAAAAATTAATAATCTAAAAGAGTACTAGAAAAAGCAACTAGACTATATATTTGCAAATTATAAAGAACTGCAGAGAATCTTTCTTGAAGATAGTTTGTAAGCACTTAACAAAAATACCTATAAAAAAACAGAAAAATACAGAGCTAAAATCTCTTCTATTTTACTTCTAAGGAAATCAAAAGAAGAACAAATCAAATTTATAAAAGGAATATTATACAAAAGTAACTATATATTTGAAATTGTAGAATGCTTTAAAAATAGAAATAGTTAAGTTGTTATCAATTTCAATTATCTCAAAGTTTAAATATTTTGAAGGAGAAACTCAAAAAAAAAAGAAATTGAATAGTATAATATAATTTCAATAATTACAAAATTACAAAAGATTTAAAAAATTTTTCTAAAAAGTTAATAAATTAGTAAGACAAAGTAAAAGATCTCTAAACAGAAGATTAATAAGTTTTTGGCTATATGTCTTTGAATTTAAACACTATCTCAGATGAGTTAGTCACATTAAGATAATTAAAGAAACATATAGAAAAATATATGCAGAAATTAAATTCATATCAAATACTATTTTTGTAAAAGACCTTATAGATATATAGCATATTCTTCATTACCAAATTCAAATTTTTCTGCTCTTAATCTCCCTTACACTAAAATCAACAAATACAACAACCCGACTTCAATTCAAATAAACTACAAAGAAAT